AGGGTGGTCGTATGGGTATAGGAAAATATGGGGAATCTTTTTATTTGTGTGTATTTGCTGGACACTGCCTTCAACTCTTTCGTCGAGCCTCTTCGCCGTCCTTGTCGCTAGCATGACCGGGTCTTCGCCTGAATGGGATGCCCAGGGAGCGTTCGTCTTTCAAGACGCCCTTGCAGTGAAAGGACTGCCTGCATGGACTTGTGGGGAGAGAGCACCGGTCGGACGGGTGAGTGTACTGCAGAATGTGATGCATCCTGCGTCTACTCTGGTCCTCTCCTACCTCCTCCTCCATCCCCTTGCCTCTTCCCGTCTTTGTCCTTTCCCCTCCAAAACCTTGTCCCTTCTTCTCCCTCCTCATCTATCCTCCAAAGTCTGCTGTGTTGACAAGGCCCGAGGAAGGGCCTATGCGCTTTCCCGTTCCGAAGAACCGACTTTGTCATCGAAGGCCCATCTGTGCTTAGTCTGAAATCTGGTGATAATACCTGAGTCCGACAGTCCTCTATGTTGCCAGCCCACTGTAAAGGTAAGTTGATTTGGGGTCAGAGTCGGGGGGGTGCCACGGCCATAAATGATCGTAAGGCCAAATGTCATCCAGGAACAGGGGCTCCCCTAAGCGGTGCCACCCAAAATGGGCGCTCTTTCGCTCTGATCCGTGGCTTCCTCGTTCCCTCGGCGGAGCTCATTCGGCTTGCGTCTCCTGCTCCCTGCTCCCCCCTCCTCCGGGAGGAGTCCTCCCCTCTCCTACCCTCTCCTCCCATCCTCCCCTCTCCTCTCCCCTCCTCCCCTCTCCTCCCCCCCTCCTCGCCTCTCCTCGCCTCTCCTCCCCTCTACAATTACTCAATACGAATACTACTCTCCCTCTTCCCCTGATGACGGTTTGAAAGTGGCCGACCCCACCCCCCCCGCGTACTGTTTTTTTACAGGTTTCCCCGGAGTTGGGTTTTCGCCTGCATTTATTTTTGTTAAAGCTGCTCTCGCTGAGGCGCCGGCCTCATTTTCGGGCCCCGCTCGTTCCGAATCGTGCTCCCGCTGCAGCGCTGCCTCATTTCCGTGCTTCCGCTCGTTCCGAATCGTGTTCCCGCTGCAGCGGTGGCCTCATTTCCGCGCTTCCGCTCGTTTCGACTCGTGCTCCCGCTGCAGCGTTGGCGTCATTTCCCGTGCCATGCCACGGCGTGCAATGCAATGCTACGTTGATGCTACGCTTTGCGGTGCTCTTCTACGCCATGCCATGCCGTGCTCTACAATGCATCGCGTACCCGTTCGGGATCATTGCCCTGCTCGACATCCGACTGTGCGAGTATAGAGGGGATCTGCGCCATGGTAAGGGATGGGAGGGAGGTGCAGGATGTCAGATATGACGCGAGCGCACCCAGCTTGCCTCCCCCCCTCCTCGCCTCTCCTCGCCTCTCCTCCCCCCGTCCTCCCCCCCTCCCCCCTCCCCGCCCTCCTGTGGCCCGGCGAGGGAGAGGCCGGCGGCGCGCAGAGCGCTGGTGCGCGCGCGCGGAAGGCGCCGGCGATGGGGCTTCGGCGCCAGCGACGGGGCGCGGCGGGAGCGCCGGGTCCTGCAGGATCTTGTCGGGGCTGCTGCTCCCCCCCCAAACCACGATGAAACAACAGAAAAACAAGCAAACAAATAAAACAAAACAAACAAAAACAACAACACAAACAACAACAACAACAACAACAACAACAACAACAACAACAACAACAACAACAACAACAACAACAACAACAACAACAACAACAACCATTACTAGCACGTGGGGACACTCCGTTCTCACCAGTGCCAGGGTTTTCATAGGAGGCGGGCAATACCCCCACTTTGTGGGGGGGCCGGTTCAAGCTCTACCAAATTTCCAAACGACTCTTCGCCACCACCCACACCCCGCTTCCCGCCCTATGACGTTCGGACACTTCACTTCGTGGCATGCGGACGACCGTGGCTACTATTCAGAGCCCCGCGGCCGACGACGACGGCGTGCGCGCGCGAAGAAAAAACGAATGTGTCCCGCATGGTATTATTTGACAGGGATGATGGCCCTGGCAGGTGCGCAACCGTTGTCGCAGAAGCTCGAAAAAGTTGCTCGCAAAAGCCCGTTTGACAGAAATGTTTAAAAAGTGTTGGTTTTCCTACGAATCCGCAAGAGCGCGCGGGATGAGATTTTGACATTTTTTTGTTGAAAAACCATTGGTTTTTTGATGTTTTTATGTTAAATCGTTCCGAACACTAAGCTTTTGGAAGGATTTCGTCTTGCGCGCGCGAATGTCCACTTTACCTTATTTTTTGCAAGGGATTCTTGAAAATTGATTATATTAGAACAAGAAATGTCATTTTATAGTGTTTTTTGCAAGGGAAAACGGATTACAACAAAACAGCCGGATCTGGATCACATCGTTTTACCTGAGGCTTCCTCACGAAAATGATGAAAACGTGGCTGCGGCCTAGGCGCGGCGGGGGGGGCGCGCACCAGGGGGCCCAACAATAATTATTCTTTAGAAT